AAAACCCAACTCTTATGCCATTAGAAAGAGGATCATGAAAAACCTATAAAAAAATGGTTCAAGAAATTTTAGTTCGCTCATAAAGCTAAAGTCCGCTTGCTCTAGCAAAAAATGCCCACTGTGCGTATGTCCATATAGTAATATTTTCCATCTTCACCATTAAGATAGAATTTATCTCGACAGTGAATAATAAACTATATCAAATTAAAAGAATTAATGTGGTATCATCTTAAATCTAAATATCGCTGTTGACAGTTATTTAGACATGGAACAGTATCAGTATTGTTAGTGCTGTTCACAATGATCTTATTGACTTAATAATATGATTGACACATTTGTCTAATGTATTTAAAAGTAACTAGGTCGTCAAGCTTACATATAGACCTCTGAATAATTAAACTTGACAACATCTGGGTTTTATATCGACACTATAGTTGTTCCAGAGCAGTCTTTATGAATATAATGTTTTTTGGACTTACTAAATACTAGAAACGCATTTTTATCCCACTAGCCTTATTACAGTAATAATGGCGTTCCACACCGTTAGCTGATTGTTTTTAGAGCATCTCTACGTAGGTAACTATTCATGAAGGGGGCCATTAGTAGGCTGGCTTTTGGCCTATGGAAGACTTTGATATGAACAGAGAAATTGTCGAAGTTTAATTGCTAAGGAATGCATATATACTGATCGCCCTGCTTATTTTCAAACATGTCTGACACGCAATGGCTGCTACTGCTAGACACCATTTGAAGGAAAAATGTGTGACCAGACTACCAGACTAGGATTCGAACCCAGAAGCTTGATGTTCCAGGCCTATGGTCTAACCACTGCGCTACCACGTCGACGTGTCTCTCAGGCACACATCAATTTATCAACACCTCACTCTACTGGTACTGTTGAATGCCTATTGGGGCACTATCCATTAGACCGTTTCTTTGTTCACGATATTTTCGAAAAAGAATTACACATTCGGAATTGCCACCAAATTCTGAGTAAAACGAGGTCTTTTTTTTGTCGAAAAACGACTTTCATTTCTCACCCGGCATTTTGCACCGTATCGATTTGGTAGAGTATTTCACAGCGCATCTTTTAAAAAGATGTTTGGACCGATCGGATCAAAACTGACCGAGTTGTAGCAAAAACAAAAAGGTCTCGTTTTCTCTGCTACACCCGTTATTTTTCTGTAGAAAAACGGCTTTCATTTTTCATCTAGCATTTTGCATTCCTGTGACACCCTTGGAACATCGAAAAATGTTTTCCTCAAATTCTATTGAATCACATATCACAAGATCCAGAATTCGATGCTGATGCCGAATCTCAGGTCGAAATTCGGCAAAATGGAGTTTGATCGAGAAAATCTGTTTTATGGAAGGATCATAATAGAGGACTATTTCAAATTTTCATCATCGGCAGACCTAGCAACGCCATTAGAAAGTCGAATGCACCCTCAGTCGTGTGCAGAATTCTTTTTTAACTATGTCAAATGAGCCGTTCAAAATCGAGTTTTGCATAATTTTAGCCCAAATACTCAAAAAACAGCGAAAAATACGATTTTTGGATACTCTGACCTAATACTATACGATAACGAAGCCTCCAACCGATAAGTGGAATACATAGATCGATGTGGTTTTACACGCTCTTTTCGAATATGACTTTAAAAATAAGAAAAAAGATGAAGAACATGGTCAAAATTCGAAAATATCTCAGAAAGTAGAGAAATTCACCATTAAAACGCTAGTTTAGAAGCCTAAACAATCACAAATAAGACAAAAAATGCATTTGGAAAGTGTAACTGTCAGCATATTTATACGACCGTTTCTTATGTAGAAAATTCAACCGCCTATTCCCCAAGCAGAGATCTCGAGAAATAACTTTTTTTCTGAGCTTGGTGCAAGCAGCGTTGTAAACTCACAGCTTGGGTTCAGTTATCCGTGCTGTTTATGAATTCAAAATTCTGCAAATATTCTGCATCTTGTGATATGTGATTCAATAGAATTTGAGGAAAACATTTTTCGATGTTCCAAGGGTGTCACAGGAATGCAAAATGCTAGATGAAAAATGAACGTCGTTTTTCTACAGAAAAATAACGGGTGTAGCAGAGAAAACGAGACTTTTTTGTTTTTGCTACAACTCGGTCAGTTTTGATCCGATCGGTCCAAACTTCTTTTTAAAAGATGCGCTATGAAATACTCTACAGAATTGTACCTAAACTATAATTTCAGAAATTCAATCAAGAAAACTAAGCCAATTAGATGAAAGTCGAACAAAATGTAAACTTTCTCTACTTACTCTAGTTACCTCGTTTTACTCAGAATTTGATGCTAATTCCGAATGTGTCGTTCTTTTTCGAAAATATCATGAACAAAAAAACGGCCTAATCGATACTACTCCTTTATTTAGTCATACTTCTCTAATTTCTTCAACAATTAAAGTCCAAACTAAGATATGAACAAATATCTCCGTTATCGGTATATAAATTTTATAATAACCATTACGTTTGCCACCGTAAATATTTAGTGGGAAGTAATCGACAAGTAATACAAAACTGAATAAAGCCAAGAATATTATGTAAAATAGCTAAAATTCATTACTTTAATAAGTTCTAATTATTTGTCGTGTATGACACGTAAAATTACTAACTATGAACACTTACGATATTATAATAAAAACGCACAATTGCTCGACCGGTATAAAATTGGCACAGTTTATAATATTGTCGTTTAAACCAATTTGGTTTATTTTCATCTGACAATCTAAATGAAAGAGCTTTATAAAGCTTATTTTTTTCGTGACACTCACACATACTTCTTCTCCTCGTTCAATTTTATATATTTATAAAAATATGGGCAAGGAATGAGTGGTGGACATATACACAGAATGAATAGCTAAGTAAAAATAATATCATCAATATTTCAAAGGATTCATAAATACATAAATTTAAGACAGTTTCTATTTACCAAGAATCCAACAGTTCCTCGACTAAGTCCATAATTATTAATTCTACCAAACCATTCACCATCTAAATATTTTTGTACAGTTTTTGTTGCTAAAAAAGAACGATTATTATTTTCTTTAGCTAATCTAATTGGACTATAATCAAGATATAATTTTGATTTTGTAGTTAATATTTGTACAGCAAAATCTTCATCTTCATCGAAACACCGATCGATTATGATTGCTGCATGTTTATCAAATTCCCTAGAAAAAACACCGTTGCAAATCTGTCTTACACAATATTGTGTTTAAAAATAGCGTACCTCTCCTTTTCTACAAAATCTTTCGTAACTTCAGATTCACGTTTTAAATTAGCAGCTTTTCGATATATTTTACTTGCAATAAGTGCTGCAATGATAGTGTTCTAACGAATAAAAAATGAACGTTGATATAGATGGATAAAATAGTAATTTGCTTGCTAGACTTACCGGTGTTTTGGAACATAGAAATGTTGCCATATCGTATCGGCTTGAAAATAGAGACCAGAAAAATAAGTCTCGAATAAATTCTAGAAATAGTAGATTATTATTCTCAAATGAAATACCATCCCGTCAAACTTAAAAATAACTTTAAGAACAAGTTTACCTTGTACTGGTATCAAAGTAAAACTAAATGCAACACCTTTACTTTCTTCACCAAATTTTACTGGTTGTTGATTTTCATATCCGTTCTTTACATCATCTATGCTAGCAATGGTCGTTTTACGTCTATCCACAGCAGAAGGACTGCCAGATTTATCTTTGAAATCTATTGCAAGAAACTGACCGATTTCGAGGTATAGACTTGAATCAGAAAGGTGAATCGTTTGAAGGCCGCCTTCTGCCTTTATCATATCCGAAGGTAAGGGAGATCGATATAGAATATTGAACATATCAGGTTCAATTGTTGGTGAAATGACATAAAGACATATTTCCGCTTTGTGTGGAGCCATATCTGGTGCAGTATGAAAGTTTATTGAAACCTTGTCGACATAACCGTTTCTACGAATGACATCCGTTGTACAAAATGCAACTTTATTATCAAGATTTTTAAAAAGTTCTTTGTTACTGTCAGTTGTTCCATAACTATTAGCTGTATAAAATAACAAAAACAATAAATAAGAAACTGCAGTTTCAATAACAATAATCGATACTTGCCTGAATCACCAGCTAGCAACTTTTTCTATAGAGAACAAAAATAAAACTCAGACCCAAGATTTTATAACGCATTAATGAGCTCTAACGCTGACTCTACCTGTTCAACATCGGTTGCTTCTACGCCCATTTTATCCAAATATGTTCTGTAATAATGATACTGTTGATCATCATTTACAATAGTTCCATTTTTATCCAACGGTAAAAGTTCTCGATTTTTCTATAATATTAAATGTAAATATGCATGCTGCACAGACTTACGTTTCTATTACATGTATTGCAGAAATTAACATGATTCTTACCACATTTAGATAATATACACTCATTTTTATTAGTCGTCTTAACCTGTCAAACGATGCACCATATTCAGTTAATAATTCAGTAAATTGTACAGAATCAAGACGTAATGCATCTTGTAAAGCTTGATCTAACTCATTGTCCTATTTAGATACAAGATAACATTATCTTTGTCATCTCATTCTCAGGCTATACATCTAAATTATATCTTACTGTCCATTCAGTTATTATTTTATCATTTAACATATTTCTCTTCACCAAATCAAATTTATTCCATGCCATAGCTAATTTTAATTCCTCAATTCTTCTACTTTTTTCGGTCTGTGTCATTTTCGCAGCTAGAAAAATTAAGATATTGATTGTTTGTTTAAGAGCGCACGATAGTTTGCTGATGAGAAAGCATGTCACGTATCCGATCATTTTTGAAGTAAAAACTAAGTGTTATGAGTTATCGATGATGCTGATTGCGAATCTGAGCTCCGTTTATGCTGCCGACGAGTGTTAAAAGGAAGACATCTGGAAACACGGTCTCTGGAGATATTTAGTTTTAGAGATAAAACCTTTCTGAAAAAGTCATTCTGAAAAATAGCCCAACTGGAGCTATTACTTTTCGAAACACTTCTGGGACTTATGATTCTATGGATATAAAATTGTAAGTACATCTTTCATTATGTTTAATAAGCTCAAAACTTTCAGAATATACTCAATTTTCAATACTCTATAAAGCATCCGTGTCACAAAAATTTTATTAAGTTCTAAAACTTAGATCTCTCGAGATCGGATTTCCAAAGACCTACTCAGAAACGCATTAACAGCACAAAGGGAGTTCAGATTCACAGTCAGTACTACTGATAATTCCTAAAACCATTTATTTCATGTCAAAAATGATCGAACAGCTGAGTCCTTTGATCATGAGCATTATAACTCACCATTTAAAAGTGCCGTGAGTATTGCATCGTTCAATTTATATTCCCGATTTTCTCTACGAAACTGAAAGATATTTATAAGAAAATAACCATTTTTTGATGTTATCATATCAATAAATTCATCTTTATTGTTTGGGTTGATAATAATATTCTTTTTTTGTTTATCAACATTAAATTCTTTAGTGTTACTGCAAAAGAAAAGACAGGGATAACGTTTCTAAGTCTAACTAATATTTACCATTAATAATTGATATACTTACAGGGAATTAAATTTTGGGGTGCTACTGGCAGCAATTTTAGTATATGCTTCAAATGTTCTCATTTCTCCACTACCATAAAGATCTTTATATTCGCGTGCTATAATATCAGCTGCTCTACCCGTTCGCTAGAAGAATAACAACGATGCGAACGAATGAAGCTGCAACACAGGCTTAATATACAGTTAATCATACTTCAATAACAATTAATGGTGTACCAGATTTAACTGCTTTACAAACAGTTAGTATAGATGATGCACCACCTTCGGCTAATATTTGAACGATTGGTACACTGGTAGCTTAAAAAACAATAAATTGAAATGGATCTGACACTATTGTAGCAGAACTCAGAATGAACTACCTTGTCCTTGGCTATTTATTTTTCGTGCTGCTTGTTCAATTTCAGCACGTAATTTCAAGATAAGATCACTACGTACAGGATGAATGTTTTTCCAGTCTTCATTTGTACCATATTGATCATCTAATATAATGAAATGTGTATGATTCGGATCCAATGGTGCACTATCAGGTTTTTCATCTTCTAATGGATGTCTAGTACGATATAACATTACACGATCGGATAGTTTTATGTCTTCCTGAGTTGTAAATAAATCAAACTTTATCACTGATTACTTTTCGCCAAAGTCTACGCTTACATTCTTAATTTGACATAATGTCTTTTGTTCTAATTGTTGAACATCTCAAAAGACAAGAAAACCTCACGATAATAAAACAGAGTATTCGAACAATTGCGAATTTACCGGTCGTATAATCCCAAGAGCAAATCGCAATACATGGTATTTTTGCTGGTGTTTTAGTGTTTTTATAACGACATTTATCTATGGCATCACCAACTTCTTTCATTATACCTGAATTTGTACCGCCCGTAAATATCCATGCACCTAAATACTTACATACGCTCAAACCATATTCATACCCAAAATTACAGATCTTTGCTTACGTGTTGTTAGAGCAACAGCAACTAATCCATGTTGAAAATCATTGCGTATTCTAGGATTTGTGAATTTAAAATATTTTGCACCACCCGTAACGGAAATAATTAAATTTGGTACCTGTAAATTCCATGCATCTCTCATAAATTGTACGATGTTTTCAGCTTTTATTTCTTGAGGTGCACGAGGAGGCAAACTGGTAGGAATATTCAGTGCTACTAATCTTTGCACAGATGAGAGAGGACGTTCTGATCTGGTTGCTATTGTTGTTGTTGTTGTAGGCGTATCAATATCAAATGGAATTCGAATGTACTATGTAATAGAAAAAGCAGCAGCAAATAACTAGACTATTCGTCGTGATTTTTTTGAGAAAAAACACACACACGAACGTTACCCATGATTTTCGATCATTATCAGCAAAATGAATTTGACCAAAATCAGTAACTCTAAAAAAGATCTCTAAAACTTTTTGTGTTTTTTTGTAGACAATACTTCTTACAGTCACTAACCTTTCTGAACGTTGAATTAGATTTCTTGTGATCCACTAAAAATATTTCTAATATAGTAACTGTTATTTATTTGACGATAGTCATACTATTATTTTTTCATACCGTTTGGACATCGACATTAATTTTTTCGTTATTCGTTAACGTCCCATCTGATTTTGTAACAGTTGTCATCTCTGTCACATAACTATGTCTATTGTTTCTCAATATGTGTGTGTCTACGAAAGGCACAAATAATACAAATTTTCAGCAAAATTTTTTTTCGAACGTATTATGCATCGTGTACATAGTACATTGGGGTGATTTCGAAAATGTATTTTTTAATATTTAAAAAATTCAAGGCAAAAGATTGAAAAGTGGCTGAAGAAAAAATTTGCTGAAGGTCTGCATTATTTGCGTCTTATACTTTTGATAAGTTTCTTCCTACCATATTAAAGTAAAAGAAAGCAATTCATTTTTCATCAAAAGAAAGAGGAGAGAAGAACAAAAATAAAAACTATTTAAAAAATACTTTATATAATGAGTATTATTTTATTTCACTGTGCTGCGGTTTTTATCGGCTTTTATTTTTCATTTTGAATTTGTAATATAGGATTATAAGCCTCACCTCAACTGCAACAATTTGTCGTTGAGTATTTTATACCAAATATATTTAAACAGAATACAACAAAAGTGTACAAAATTTGTCTTTTCTGTTTTCATATCCAGTTTCTTCTCGGACATGTGAGAATAATGCGTTTACGCATTACGTGTATCTCTTCTTAGCCACTTTGTTGTCTCGCACGCGAGAATAATGCTGCCTAAACTGTGAGAGTTGTGCACCATCTAGAATATATTATGCTTTTCAAACGAAAATTTATAACAAATTTACAAATTACATCTTTTCTATCAAACACTTATATCACAACTGAAAAAAAAAGTATGTTATATTGATTGACTGTACGAAAAACGTAACTATTATTTTTAAAACTATGTAATTTGTGTTAAATTGAAAATAATTTTCCATGAATCATAATATATTAGGTTGAGGAAAAAGTTCGTGCGCCGTGTTAAAATAATGATTTTAATAATAGCTAGAATAAATTTGAAAAAAGATTTGAATAGCTGAAAGAATTTTCGATCTCAGGTGGTGTATACAAAGGCTCCATCAAAACTCCTGAAATCAGGGTCTCTGGAGAACTTAAATCTCAGAAAACCAAGTCCCAGAGTTCAATCCAGAAATTCTTTGCAAATAAGTCCATCGT